ACAATGTACTTATTGTGTAAATACATGCATTTACTGTGTACTTACGCTTGATTAAATTAAATTCAATTCAATTCAGCTTTATTTGTACAGCGCTTTTACAATGTAGATTGTGTGGTTCACAGTGTGGTTCAGGTTTTAGTGTTTAAGTTCAGTTCAGTTCAGTTTAGCTCAGTTCAGTGTGATTTATTCATTACTGAGAGTTCAAACACTGAAGAGCCAATTCATCGATGCGTAGCTCTACCAATCCTGAACCATGCGAGGCAGTGGCGACAGCGGAGAGGGAAAAAAACTTCACCTGATGGGAGTGAAGAAAAAAAAACCTTGAGGGAACCAGACTCAGTTGGGCACGGCCATTTTAATTTCTCCACTGGCCAAAAGTCTTGTGCAGAGCTTCATTCGCCGTGGTTTAGGCTGGAAAGATGGCCTCAGCGAAGACTCGTCTGTCCCTGGAACGTCGCTGGAATCAGACTCATGTTCTCCACTCCCCACGACCATCAGCGCAGCAGCAGCTCAGGATATGGCCTGGTCCCGGATATGGAATCCTTGGGATCATCACGTCGCTGGCCTTGATTCCAATCAGTGACTCCGCATAATCTGAGGACCTCGGGATGAGTATCCCCAGGTGAAAATAGAGAATAAAGAGAATAATTAGCGTAGCTGCTGTTCATCGTGTATATAATGTATATGTAAATACATTAAATACATGTATGTAAATACATCTGTACACTGTTGAACATCCCTTACACCTTAACCCACCCTAAAACCTACCCACACAACTAAACCTGTCCATAACCCAACCTCTATTTCAACTCAAAAGCACCACAAGTGTTCTCAAATACATTATAAACACAGTAAGTACATTGTATTTATTTTTTTGATGTAAGTACACAGTAGTTTAGGACACTTAATATAAAGTGGAACCTAGTATTAAAATGGCATTTTAGAACAAAAATGATCCACATCCACACCGTGTTTTACCTAGCATTTCTGAACTGCCCTCTGTCCGCTGAAAACGCGCACAACAGTACCACACACACAAAGCCACACACGGCGCCATGCGCTCGTCTGAGCTCCGGGGGAAGTAGAGCACGTTGGACAGTTTATCAAGGATGTACCGCTGGATGACGTCCCACTATAGTTGTTAAACATGATATTTAATTAATCTTGTCTTTAACGACTCTTCGGTCTTGTGAATCGATCAGGTAACGTGTTACAGCATCAATACACTGCTTCAGTTTTTAACTTTCACACTTGTACTTAATAATTTTAGTGAAAACCTCAGACACTGTTGGTTGTGCACCTTTTTTACGGAAGAACCTCCCGCGGAAAAAGTGATTGACAGGTGGTGATTTGTGCGCAACTTGTTTTTATGTATTTATGATTTGTTTATGGATAAAACAAAGACCATGCGGGTCAGGTAGTTGAAAAGGCAGCCTACAAGTAATTCATTATGAATTATTTTTATTATTCATAAATAATTAATTCACCTCCGCCAGTGCCATGGTCCATCGCGATGTTACACATCAGACATCGTACGATGCCAAATTGGTCGACATCGCCTAACCCTAGTCTCCATAGTTATGCGTATAAACGTCCACAGAACAGGATTTGCAAAGAAACTGAAATTAAAAGATCTGTTCAGCTCTCTGTGATCAGCTGCAGCATGTTTGCAATAAATACTGTGAAATGGCTTGCAATAGGGTACATGCCGAAGCATGCTAATAGGACCTTTGATTTGTCAATAACCTGGGTTAAGCGCTTCTGGTGAACTGAATGCCATTGCAAAATCGGCACGTTTAAGGTCTGTTTTCTTTAAAAATCAGCAATCTCCACTGACTGAGTGATATCCGATATAAAGTGGGTCTCAGATAGTACAAGAAGCACTGCATTAAATAACATTTCCTCCCGCCATGTCTTCATAATATGAGCATTTATTTTACTCCAGTATATTCAATGGAGCTTCTGTGCTAAGCTGCCGATTCTGACTGGCGCGTGCGAGTACACGGCTTTTTGTCTAGTTTTATGCTTGAGCAACTAAATGAATGCCAAAGTCTATTTAACTGATTGTAGTTTAATTACATTACAATATCGATGCTGTAAAAAGAACTGTATAAAATGGAAAAAAGATCACAATAACAGGTCACCGGAAGTTTATCAGTATGGGTACAACACTAGCTCTATAAATGAGTGTCTATAAATAAGGAGCAACAATATCCAACAGCAAAAACAGAGCAGAGTTGAACTTGTGTGTGTTTGAGTGTGTGTACTGCTAGCTTTGTAGCAGCATGTGTGTGTTTGACTCATCGTTGCATTAAGGCTTGAATAAACTCCACCATAAAGACATCAAATCACCTACTGTGGTAATGGCTTACGGCTTCACTGCTGGTGAGACACTGACAGGAGAAACTGCATATGGTAATGGTGGACAGGGGGAAACCAAGCGGCAACCTCCCGCTCTCCCTCAGGAAGCCAATACGGAAGTAACTAAAACTGCAATTCATCCGAAATTCCGCTAGTCCTGGCCGCTCCTGGCTCTAAAACAGAGCAAATTTCAATTGAGCCCACTGTTAGACTGGCCAACTTTACCGCAGAAAAAAAGGTGTTTACAGCCTGATACAAAAAAAGATTTTGCTTAATACAGCTAATATTACCCTTCATGACAACTGTGAGGGGGTGAATTTTTTTATAACTCATCCATTTCCTTTATATTAAGTTATATTAAGTTTGCATAATTAAGGACGTGGCCACTTGAGTGACAGCTAGGTCTCGTTGGTCGCCGTCACGTCACCTAAGCTGAATCCTGCAGGTTAGCCACTGAACTCGGCAGATTTATCGTATTTCTGTGTTGTTTTATGTGGCTTTACACACTCAACTGCCTTTTGGAATTGTTTCCTACAATTATTAGATGGCATGGCATGCTGAGTGCACTTAATTGTGCTCACAAACCATTCACGTGGCCTCTGTTTCCCATGTGTGTAAAGTTATATACTTATCTACCATCTCTATACATGTATGTGTTTTATTTAAGATCATTTATGGTTTATATTTATATTTAGAGCTGTAATACACTCCAGAATCTGACGAACTGATTAGCTGTAGGCTCTAGATCAGTCGTCTGAAGTGTTGTCATACAGTGTTATGCTGGATTTCATCAATAGTCTTACATTAACCAACACAGGCTATATCTGAAGTGTTTAAGTAATTCGCGTTTTCCTCCTGTTGAAAAACATCATAAGAACAATGTTTAGTGGCTCAATGTATTACAGCAGTGTTTTTAAAAGTCTAAACACTTTATTGATATAGTGTACAGCCAAGCACAAGTGGTCAGAACACAAACGAGTCACAGGTGATAAAGTATTAAGCGTTCTCCCAAAGTAAAGTGTGTCTGAACCAGGTCCAAGCTAAATGCAGCATGCGTCTGTAGCTCCGCCCACTCTCCGCCTCTTTGCCCTTGTTTGGTATCCCGCCGTGGGTGTGATGACGCGCGAACAAAATGGCGACGGTTGGCCGCGCCTACTTGTGGCTTCTTTTGCGCTCTTTAAAATCCTATGGGTGACGTCACGGACACTACGTCCATATATTTTACAGTCAATGGGGGAAACAGGCTACAAGAACAGCTACACTTTGCTGTATAAGACAAAAAAGATATAATACTATTACTGATATAAACATCTAAAGCTTGCAGTGTTTCTTCCGCCTAAATGAATCGACATTATTTTTCACGTCACTTCATACTTCAGTTTATCATCAAATCTCGACCAATCAAATGCTCTCTAGTGTCTAACAAGCCCCGCCCCCTTCAAGCAGCTGCATACTCTTGAGCTCAACCACTCTCACTGGCAGAGCTGCGATAAAAACCAAATGCTATTGTTTTTTTTAAAAGGGAGAAGCTAAACTGGTCATCCTTCACTTGGGATTACATCAAACATTGAATAAAACCGCACATTTCAAAGCATTTCGAGACCATTCTTGAGTCAGGTGTAGTGTTTCCTGTGTGTGTTTCTCAGGTGAAGTATGACTTCCTGTATGACCACCACCATGTGTGCTGTCAGGAGCGCTGGCACTCCCTGCTGCAGCGCCAGCTTTACACCACCTTCATAATGGTGGCGCTGTTCCTGCTTCCGCTAGCCGCCATGCTGTTCCTCTACAGCCGCATCGGTGTGGAGCTCTGGATCCGCAAGCGTGTGGGAGACGCCTCCGTCCTCAGCACCATGAACCACAGAGAGATCAGCAAAATCTCCAGGTACAGAAACACAACAGAGAAGAAGATCATTAGCATGTGATGCATGCAGTGTTCAGTTATCCCTCATTTCCCCATCAGTATTCAAACCTGCTCGAGTTTCTGAGCTCCTGAAGTAGGCAGGCATTGACTTCTTCATAGTACGGACATGTGGAAAACATGCTAATTCTGCTAATAACATGCTAATCATTCTAGAAACATGGTTACAACAGGATAGCTACATTAAACATGCTAGCAATGTACTAACAATGGATTAATGCTCATTATGAAAAAACGTTAATGATGTAATCAACAATGCTAGCAATGTACTAGCAATATGCTAATTATGCTAGCAAGTTGCAACCAACATTCATTCATTCATTTTCTTTTCGGCCTAGTCCCTTTATTTATCTGGGGTCGCCACAAGGGAATGAACCACCAACTTATCCAGCATATGTTTTACACAGTGGATGCCCTTCCAGCTGCAACCCATCACTGGGAAACACTCATTCACACTCATACACTTTGGCCAATTTAGTTCATCAGTTCCCCTATACCACGTGTTTGGAGTTTTCAGTGTTTAAGTTCAGTTTAGTTCAGTTGAGTTCAGTGTGGCTTATTAATCACTACTGAGAGTTAAGGGTGTCACGATTTCGATTTTAATCGAAAATCGATCGAAATTTATGCTCGATTACGATTATCGATTCAAAAAATAGTATCGTCGATGCTGCCACGCCCCCATGTCACGTCAGCTTGGCTTGCCAAGCAGGAAAAAACACGCTTGTTAAAGTGCTTGTTAAACTGTGCAGACGCAGGAGACCCATCGTCAGAGCTTAAACCTTCAGGGCTCGACAAAAAGGACTGCCCGATAGCCCGGAGCCAGCGTGGGAGACGCTCGGGCCAGTGTACAGTGCTGCCTTGTTGACTGACAGATTGAGCCAGAGCTGCGTGCTGCGACTGTCTGTCAATTGTGTGCAAATACAATCGTACGGTGCTTTCACACATAGACGTTTGTTTCGGAATCTGTCTCGTTTCCCCGTTAGTTTGTTTGGCATATATCCAGCAGTTGCGCTCGCATCCGCGCCAAATCAATCAGTACGAGATCGCCTGAATGAGACGGTCTCTGCCCTATTGAGCGGATCGATTGTAGTGAAAAAAAAAACAAAACAATGCAACAAACTAACGACCAAGGCTATATCACAGTGTATTATGATCGTGTAATAGCCATATATACGGCTTAAGAGAAAATGATGAGCAGGGCCAGATGTCATTCTTACCAGTAAATGCGAAAGTGAAAGCATGCTGAAATATTACCGAGAGCTGTTTATCCAGCCTGATCTCGGTTTATCCGTCAGGAAAATTGACCGAAATTACTATCTGTTAATTTTTCCATGTTTTAATCGTATAATATGTTGTATTAGGCCAGTTGTTTTGTTCATTTCCGCACTGACAGCTCGAAAGAAAGATATACATTGATCTGATGCAGTCTCGGTTCATCTGCTATGTCTCTCTATAATGTAATCCTATAATGCAGAATTCTAGCCAACGTTTCTTTAATAGAAAGTCCTGAACCATGCAAGCCAGTGGCGACAGCGGCGAGGAAAAAACTTCACCAATTGGCAAAAGTGAAGAATAAAAAAAAAAAAAACAGGCTCAGTTGGGCACGACCATTTCTCTTCTGGCCAAACGTCTTGTGCAGGGCTGCAGTCCAGGCGCCGGAGACTGTAGAATGCTGGATGTCAGCGAAGACTCGTCTGTCCCTGGAGCGTCACAGGAATCAGTCACATGCGCTCCACTCCTCCATGACCACCACAGCAGCTGCTCAGAATACGGCCTGTTCCAAGATTATGGAAACCTTGGGATCATCTCGTCGCGGGTCTTGGATGGCATCAGTGGTGCTGCATAGTCTATGAGGGCCTTAGAATGAGCACCCCAGGTAGAAATAGAGAATAATTAATATTACTTATAGCCTATTTTCACTAAGTGTTATAATACGCTTTTTTCAACTCAAAAAGGCAACAAAAAAAAAGTGAACCAGAGTTTACAACAAGCCAGGAGAACGACTTTTAAGGGCCAACTCAATTCTACTCTTTAAGGCTGATTTATACTTCTGCATCAAGTGCACGCATATGCTACGATGCAGCCTACACATGGACACATACTGTAGCCCTTACTGTCGGCGTCGCTGACGCACACCTCTCAAAAAATGTAACTACACGTTGCAACGAGGCGTATCGCAAGCTCTGTGATTGGTTGGTTTGGAAGCGATGACAAGTGCGGGCGGGACCGAGAGCCGCGCGAGTCTGTTGGAGCGACTGTTTAAAAGTGTCAAATCCCATAAAGGAGCTCCGGATGGAAAGTTTTGTTTTTTGTTTACCTGGTGGTTAGGATTGTTGCATGTCCGCAGGTTCCTGCCTCAAAATGAGCGAGTTTGAACCACTTGTACGTTAAGGAAGTGTTCAGAAAAATCAAAACATCAGCAAAGAGACTCAACACAGAGGAACATAAACACCTCACTGCCAGCTAGTGTTTCTGAAGTGTTATTTCAAAGGAACAGAAACAGTGCGCAGAAGTATGAATGCACAGCTACGCGCGATCCATACAATGTGGGTCACGCCGATCACTTGACGCAGAAGTATAAATCAGGCTTTACCCCTTTCCCTTACGCCTACTCCTAATTTTGCACGTTCACATGAAGGGATGGAGTGTCCCAATTCTCTTTAGCTTGGAGGCTAAGGAGAAGGGCTTGTTTAAAGGGCCATGAAACCCCCTCGTTTCAGCAGAGTGTTTTCACACCTCTACTTTGGAAAAAGCCAGAAAAGTGGGCGTGTCCAGCTCTGTTTAGGGGGGAGTGTCAGAGGAGCAAAAGAGGTGTGGTGTGGGAGTGTCTATTTGAGCATGCGCTGAGTTTCAGAGTCAAAACACACAAACACACACACACACACACACACACACACACAGGGTAGAAAGTGACTGTGTTTACTTGGACATCTGTAGTCGAATTATTTGCCGAATTATTAAATGGTGGACTTTAACTGCAGTTTGGCTTTTTCATTCAGGGAATTCATTCGTGCCCCTCGCGACAAACGAGATATTTGATTCGAGGAACTGCTCTAAGCGTGTATTTTTTATGCAATGTTTGATACCGCACGGCAAATGAGAGAAAAAGTAAACTCTGGATTTCTCTGTAACTTGGATGCACTCTGCTGAATAAACAAAGAGCACTGGTCGCTCACTTACCAAATCTGTAGAGACAGGACAATCACCAGCAACTAGAGCCGCGTCTTTATTAAGAGGAGACTACAAGCGAATCCGGGTCTCCATTTGCAGAAGAGAAAAGGTCTCGGGTAAACAATGTTACTAAACACGTAAGCTATTGTTGTCGCGCGTTGCGTACACTGTTAATCCACACGTGAGTCCAGCTGCGCTCTCACAGAGAGAAAATGAAAGCAAAACTTGATATCAGCAAATTATGAAAGCAACACTGCACGCTTGTTGCCAACACAATGTGGCGTCTCTGCAGTCTACACTGTAACATTAATGAATATTAATGAAGTTGCACAATAGAGCGCGCTGATTGGTTTGAACCAAGCCTTACTCATGCATTAATGCAGCACACTCGTAGACGTAATACGGTTAGCCAGGTACAGAAGTCCAGTCAACACGCTGGAATACACGCTATTATGTCATGGCTGTGACGCAGCTTCAAAAATTTGTTTCAAACCAGAAGTACGACTTTGCTCTAAAAAACACAAAAACTTCCAATTTTCACTTTTTTCGTGAGATATATGTGTCCTAATAGTGTTTTTAGCAGTGTGGGACACATATACGGCTCAACAGCTCGAAAATGTGTTTTGGTGTTTCGTGACCCTTGAAAGATGAAGTTTTGCTAAATAGTAACGATTTAAGCATTTCAACTGTAGTTTCACATTGTACACTGAACAGATAAACTGCTGATAATTACTGATGAGATCACAGTAATGCTTTCACATAAACATGAAGAAAAAGTGCACTATAATATTTGCAGATTTGATCTAGACTTGCTTGTTTAACTGCATTTTACTTTCAAAAGGTTGATTTATTTCATCTTTCAGTAGTATAACTGTGGTTGCAATTATTCATAAAATGAAAGCATTAGAATACCCATTAAAACACTCTAATGCAAAGCTTCAAGTGCTACTGATATCTTGAAATCAGAAACGTTAGATAATCAGAATGCACTGTGTGAACGCTGTGGAGCAAAGATCTCAAACTCAATTCCTTGAGGACTGCAGCTCCGCACAGTTTAGCTCCAACCACATCCCACCCACACATGCTTAATAGTCTACAGTAGTATTGAACACCATGATTATTTGGATTAGCTGTGTTTGATTTGGGTTGGAGCAAAACTGTGCAGAGCAGCGGCCCTCCAGTAATCGAGTTTGGGACCTACACTATAGAGTGAGAATGACCTGTGGTGATTGAACAGAATCATACCTGTGTGGTTCAAACAGGAAGAAGAAACGAGCTGTAAAAATGATGATCACCATCGTCCTGCTGTTCACCGTCTGCTGGGCTCCGTTTCATATCGTCCACATGCTCTTTGAGTACAGTAAGTGCAGTTGCTGGACAATATGACCTCAATTAACTGGAAACCTGACATCAGTTTTGATTATTAAACAATTGTGTTGTTTTAAAAATAATTTCCACCCTAATAGTTCATTCAGAGTTTGTAAATACAGTCAAATATTTAAGGTAGGACACCGTTTCCTATTTGAATAGTGGATTTATCTTTGTTAAATTACACAAATTGAAGGACTATATAGGTTTTTTTGTTGAATATTTTACAGAACTGAAATCACAGCACACGTTGCTTGCCACGAACACTTCTTTTGAAAGAATATCTGTTTTATACAAAAAAATTGTAACTATAAAACAACTATAAAATAAGAACTAGCATTTTTTACAAATGAAAATACATTACACTACCCGACAAAAGTCTTGTGGCCTATCCAAGTTTTAGGAATAATAAATAATAAGTTGACTTCTAGTTGATCATTTGGTGTCAGAAGTGGCTTATATGAAAGGCAAAGTCCTCTAGATCAGGGGTTCCCAAACTTTTCAGTCAGCGACCCCCAAAATGACAATGCCAGTGTCTTGCGACCCCCAATTTCCTCTCAGGTTGTTATATATACAGTGGTTATAAATGCAATGGCACACACACACTAATAGACACAAGTCTTTTCTTGTTTTAATTTTTTCAATGTATATCAGTGCTGTAAATGGGCCAGAAAGTTTAACCTGGTGTTATAAAATCAATCTGCTGCTTCTGAGGCTATTGCTGTGTCTTTAATATAATGTAATTACCCCAGGGGTCACTTTCCAATAGAACTAGTAACTATAAGCTACTATAGTAACTATATAGTAACTAAAAAGCATATAGTAACTATAGACAACATTTTTTTCTCTTCAGTAGGTTATGGATAACCTATGGTAATTCTTATGGTTTAAAAAAAAATAGATTTTTTTAAATCAACAGGCGACCCCCCTTGATTGTCCCACGACCCCTCGGGGGTCCCGACCCCCACTTTGAGAACCACTGCTCTAGATGATGCGTATTTTAGCACAATAAAATCTGATCATGTCTTGATGTTAACTGATGTCATTAGGACAGTAAGGTCTGACTCTGCTTAGACAAAAGTCTGGAAACGGAACAGAAATAATGTCCAGTATAGAATATAAAGTCCTGCTGCAGTGGAGACAGAATGAATATTGTGTCTGACTCCATCATGAGCTTGGAGGACTGCATCCATACATCTCTGACATGACTCACATCACTGATTAATAAAGTCATCTGGAATGAAGAAGAAAGCCTTCCTGCAGGACTCCCAGAGTTCATCAAGTCTTCATTGCCTCCATCTTACCCCAGACATGCTCAATCATGGTCATGTCTGGTGACTGGGCTGGCCAATCCCGGAGCAGCTTGACCTTCTTTGCTTTCAGGAGCTTTGATGTGGAGGCTGAAGTATGAGCAGGAGCGCTATCCTGCTGGAGAATTGTCCCTCTCCTGTGGTTTGTAATGTAATGGGCAGCACAAATGTCTTGATATACCTCAGGCTGTTGATCATCCACTCTGCAGGTCTGTCTCACACCCCCATACTGAATGAACCCCAAACCATGATTTCTCCGTCACCAAACTTGACTGATTTCTATGAGAATCTTGGCTCCATGCGGGTTCCAGTAGGTCAGGAGTGTCCAAACTTGGTCCTGGAGGGCCGGTGTCCTGCAGATTTTAGCTCCAACTTGCCTCAACACACCTGCAAAGATGTTTCTAGAAAGCCTAGTAAGAGCTTCATTTGCTAGCCCAGGTGGGTCTAATTGGGGTTGGAACGAAACTTTGCAGGACACCAGCCCTCCAGGACCGAGTTTGGACATGCCTCATCCAGGTTAATCATGAACAACTCAGTGCGTATGCGCTAGTTGCACTATCGCGGTCTGATTATGTTTCAATCAAGGTTTATATGCATCAAATACATCACATCTGTGCCAAACATTTCAACTGACGAACATATTAACAATTATACAACCGTATAGCCCAATTAAATGTATGCATTGGCATGTTACAGCTCTAATGAGTATGATTATGTGAAACTCCATATAGATACATATTGCAATGATTTCGGGTACTTACTTAGCGATGCACGTACACATAACGTTATATGCACAGTCCTTAAATGCTCTGCTGATTTGGACTCTATAATACCTGTTTTATAACTTTAAACTATCAACAACCACCACCGAGCTATATTCTAGTGATCGTTCTCCCGCTACACTTTCACGTGGTGGATATTGGCAAAGTCCATTTCACGTGAGATGGCGGGGGTGAGTGGAAGAAACCAAGTCGCGGAGGGAATATTTTCAACAGAAATAACTTATGAGTTCTTATGTGGCCCGGTACCAGTTGTTCCTTGGACCCGTACCGGTACCAGTAGGTTCTGCAGAATTGGTGATGACTGGGATGCAACAGATGATTCATCAGAAAACTCTACGGTGTGACAAACTACCAAATGATCAACTAGAAGTCAAGCTATTATGAGATCCACAAAACTTTTGTCAGGTAGTGTATATATATATATGTATATATATATGTATGTGTATATATATATATATATAT